TGGAATCAATAGTTATTTGTTTCTGCAATTTTTCAGAAGAATAAGACGGCATAAACGCTAACAAAAATTTGTTATTACAGTTGGCAAGTTCCTTTAAATTTATATCTATAGCCCAGCATAAGAAGTCGCTTGATTTAATTATCTAAAACAAAATGCTGCATCATCCTACTATATTGATTAGAATAATTTATTATTCAGAAATCACACATCTCATTAAGCATTAACAAACATTATTAAACACATGTTATAGCCATTGTGTGGGGAATGGTAACATCTGCTTCTTAAATTTAAAAGTCAAAATTATCTCATATATTTTAATATGGTACTGAACTTTGATGGCTGGGTCAATTCATTTTTTAGTTATTAATGGAAGGCTAATCTACTTGAAAAAAAGAGCATGGCCCTACCAACAGATTCTCTAAGAGAAACATCTTTACCACTAACCGGAAACAAATTTTTCCAGGTAGGCATTTTGCTAAGATAAGCATCTACCATCTGCTGATTAGAAATCTAAGGATACAGATTTACTAAGTATCAGGTCTCACCTAAAAAAGTGTATTGTCTCAATTTTTAGCATGCAATTTTAATTTAAAACTCAGTAGTATTTTTGGAGGATTTTATGAATGACAAGAGAGTTCACATTTTTCAGTAAATTCTAAGGTTTATCCTTTTTTGTTTTTTGTTTTTTTGTTTTTTTAGGTTTTTGCAACAGGGTGTGTACACTCACCAGAGAGATAAAAATATACAGTGAGAGGGAAAGTGAGAAACCATCCCCCATGGGGATGGCCACCCAGCAACCTCTTCTCCTCCACTCTCCTCCTGGGATTTTGGACACACACACACACACTTACTTGACATGATTTTCAAGATGCTGGGTCTGGGACTCGAACCATGGGTGGGAGTCCAGTGATTTAACCATCATGCCACCTGCCAGCTCCCTGAAGTTTAGCCTTTTAAAAAGTCAACCATTTTACTTAAACTATGAGTAGCACTACTGTGACTGAAAAGTACACTCATTTCTTAGCAAGAAAGTTCTCATGGAGTTCTAGGACCTCAATAGGACCTAAATATATATTTTAAGAGCAGAGAGATGAACCCACTTTCTTGCATATTTTAAGATTCATCCTTTTAAAAAAATCAAGTCACCAGAAAGCAGGGTACTTCCACCATTTTATCTAAACTAAGAGTAGCATTTTTGTGTCTGAAAAGTGAACTTTCATCTTACCATGAGAATTCTCAGGGAGGTCCAGGTTATTAGAAGACCAGTCACACATAATGGGAGGGGACAGGTTGGCAGGAGTGTGGTTATAAAGGAAAAATCTTCATGAAACAGACACTATCATTTTTGTTTATAAGAAAGACTACATTTTCTGCTTATAAATCTTCTCATGCAAAATTTCCTGTGACGTTTACCTTTAGTGAATCAGAGAAAGCACATTTTCAGTTCATTAAGTTTCATAAAAATGTTTGCCCTTCACTCTCTGACCCCTGGAAAGATTCACACCTATACATCGACTTTAATTTTTTACATTTAAACAGAGTCGAGCTTCTGCTTATCTTGTATGTCATATTTTACTTTTGTATTTGTGTGTCATACGCCACATCAAATCTTGGAGCTATAAGAAGTAAACAAATCTTTCCTTTCCAAATGCAGAGGTATTTTAGTCAGTCATCCTGATTACAAATGTGTACACAGATATAATACAGTTCCTAAAATTAAACTATAATGTGTGTGAAACTCAAGATTTATGTGCTCCTTTCTAAACAATGAAAGTTAATAATTTAATGTGAATTGTCATGTATTTTTCATACTTGAGCTAAATTTATAAAGGGCATTTAAAAGTAAGGATTTTGGCTACAGAATGTTAAATGTCATATAATTACCCAGCATGTTTTAGTAGATGAATATATTCCCCTGTCTTTCTACCGTCAAATAACTATGGAATTCCTTGTGTGGGGCTTATCATCAAACCAAATGCTTTATACTCAGTGTGAAAATTCAATCACAATTGTCGAAGATCAAGCTGCTACTTCTGATAACAAACACGATGAGATATCATCTTGTTCAATATATGCTTTCAACTTGACATGTAGGCTAATAAAAAAAACTGAAGTTCTAGTATTTATTTTGTTTCTTTCACAACAGAAGGCTCCTAAGCAGGATGATCAAAATACCCAGTATCATTGCATAAAAATACAGTCAATTCTTTATGTGAAGACAGATTAACTGGTTTTCAGAATAACTGTAGTAAAATAATAATAGCATGCATTGCATTTGTAAAAGATTTAAAAATTACTATGCACCAGTGATTGTATCTCAATGAAAGGATATCTATATATTTTCAACTACAAAATAAACAGGAGATAGTATATTGTGTCTATTGCAATATGTTCCATTCATTCAACACCTATTTATTATTTACTATGTACCAAACACTGTATTGGGATATTCTACCTCATTAGCCAGACCTACAGCTCTCCATGGAAGATGGTATGAGGGTGGGCATGCAGTGAACTTTCTGTGAGTTGACGATACATCTAGACTTAAAAGCTAAAAAGTAACTGACATTAGGAAATGAACTCCAATGGATTTGCCAGTGTGGACTTAACTTCTCCACCTTGTTCCTTATGCTTTTTCTTCCTTTGTGTCCCTTCTCAGGGAAAGAATGAACCTGCAAGCACTCAGTCTCAACATCCATAATCACCACACCCTGACAATTTCCCAGTTGATCTTGTACAATTCCCTTCATCCTCTCTATCACTCTAGCTCCAACCTCTTTGCCATTATCTTATCTTGAAACTCCTTCAAAGCAAAGTGACAGTTAGCTACTGGGCACTAAAATATTTGCTACATTAATGAAAAAGGAAACTTTAATTACTTTTTAAGATACCAAGGTGAACAAAAACAACAAACATCCTTAAACTCATTCCCTTTTAAGCAACCACTTCAAACATGTCAGGAATATTATAGCCCACTGGGGAAGCTAAGCTAGAAACCGAGTTATCTTTGATCTGTCTTTCTTCTTCATTACTCTTACACTATTTTCCCTATCTATCTGCTCAGTGTGACTTCCACTGTTACTCTCCTAGGCCATAAACTACATGTCAGCCAGTCACTGAATATGACCCACTATAACCCAGTGCTGTCCGATAGAACTTTCTGCTACGATGAAAATGAGCAATATCTATGTTGCCAACATGTATGAACACTGAGCACTTGAAACATAGCAAGTATGAGTAAGGTACTAAATATTTAATTTTATTTACATTTGAATCATTAGGTTGTTGGAAAAGTCATGATGCTCTTTTGCATAGAAAAACATACAAAAAATAAGTCAGAACTTTTCCGACAACCCAATAATTTAAACAATCATGGATGATTAATGCCAAAAGTAATGTACAGCACAGCACCACCTCTTATAGAATTATCTTCTTCAAGATACACGATCACATTACTTGCTTTACAGAATTAACAGGTCTCCATAAAACTTCCACCATTATGAATGATGTTTGAGGCTCTTTGTATTCAACAGTAACCCATTACCTTAATCTTAAACCACCCCTATGCTAGCCCAACTGAGTACCAAATGGACTGCTCAGTGTATTCACATGTGCCATGTAATGACCTTTTATGTTAACTGTTGAGTCTTGCTTAGGATGCCTGTCCTCTTGTGGAACATCTACTCATTTCTTAAGGTCCAGTTCTTATGTATCTGTTCCTCTCATAATTAGTAAGTGCCCTCTCAAAGTGCAGCTAGCTGTTCTGTCTTAACTCTATTGTCTTAAATTTTTGTGTATAACTCCATTAAAAGCATTTCATAATAATTAATGGTTTATATGCAAAAATATGAGCTACATATATGCCAGGTAAATACTAATCACACTCATTAAAGAGATTTGGTAAAGCATCTAGTGCAGGACTTCACCCTAAGCAAGTGCTCAACAGATGTACAAAGTCTTTAATACACTTTTAAAGGAATTATGTCACCCATGTAAGAGATCTTAACCAAATATAGCACCCTAAGGGAATAAAGGAAAATAAAAGCTTACAGATGGGCAAGGGAAATAACTCCCAAGGCATTGATATTGTTGGAAAGTTTAAGTCATGGAAATTGTGTAAGAAAATTCATGAATGCACCAAGAGAATAAATCTGTAGCTCAAGCTGAACTTGTTTCTCACCTTCCCCACCTAACTGGCAAGAGCAATCATCAAATTCCTTAATCAGGGAGGGTAGATGTTATGAGGTCAAGAAGAGAAAGCTTTTCTGGTGATGTGTAACCAAGAAGACTCTGTTGTAAGCAGATCAATAAGGCATTATTACTACAGCCCACTCCTCAGAAAAAATGTTCAGTTACATAAAAATTGAATATATAATTTCCTTATATGCTTTAAGGAAATTCAACCTGAGGAAGAATCCAGAAAATAACAAACTTTCCAAATGTATTTAATTTTCACCTCCTCTAAATTATATTTAGATAGATTTCAAAATCACCCATGACTTATGAGGTAGGTTTATTTGTAATATAATCATTTTCATTCATATATAGCAGTCTCATTTTTCTTTTCCTGGAGAGTGGCTGTTTATAAAAGCAATGCAGAGAAATATTTAAATAGTTAAAGCTAAAAATTTTAGTGGCAATCCTAAGCATATATATATATATATATAATATCATATGCAGGTACCCAAAATGAATAAATATTAAGTTTAAATAATATTTTGATGTTCCATTTCATTGGTTTGTGATAGCATAGGTTTACGATATAATTCTGTTATTAAACAAAATCCTTGGGTTGGATTTGCAGATCAGAGAAAATTAATATTTGGATTTAGTTCAGAGGTTGAGTAAATTAGCTCAGTTCACTCTGGGTTTGAGTTCATGGTTCAGTTCAAGTTCTTGATAATGAGCACATCAAAATAAAAACATTTAAATAATGTAATCAGGACTGACATATAAGAGTAAGTGTGCAGGCAAATATGTGTTTTTAAAAACAAACTCACTTTACAGAGAGAGCTAAGGTTAAATCCGAAGGTTTGAGCATTCCGGGAGCCAGCATTCATGTAGTTTCCCATTAGCAATACAAGTTCCAGCAACTTGCTAAAGCTTTTGCTCTTCTTTATCTCTTCGCAGGCAGTGCTGACAGCCATGATGTCAGGTTTGATGTTGTTCACCTGCTCTTCAAACTGAAGCTTAAAGAGAATAGCACTGAGCCGTGGCCGTAGTCTCTTCACATTGCTCATCTGATTGAAAAGAAAATAGCAGATTTCCTTTAAAATGCATGGTATACTTTAGTACTGTACAACTGCAAGTAATCTGGGATGATTTATTGGTATGACAGTACCGAAGAAGCAATCTGTCCCCTAAAACTGATAGCAGGAAGAGAGAAAAGCCTTGCTTGTTTCTGTAAGAAATCCAGTCATCCTGAAAAAATTTTAACAATTTAGAGGCTCAATAAATAAAATAAATAAATAAATAAATAAACAGGTTTACTTAAATAATAAAGTAACTATATATGTTTCTGAAAAACTAATTTTAGAAATGTAACAGGATATATAGGCAACAAATTACAAAGCATTCACATTATTACTTTAAGTAATTTTATTTCAACACTGAAATATACTGGGTCATGTTTAAAACATGCACAAAGGTCTAAGGAGGGTTTGTTTTCTTCAAATAGTAATTGCTGTCCTCAGAAGCTCTGCTGACTAACAGTCAGTGTTAGAGGGAGAGTAAATAGGTCCCAATTTGTACTAAATTGACTTTCTTCAGAAACACAGGGAAGTGGAATGACTCCTGACACATACTAAATTAACAGAATCAGAGTTAGGAAACATGGGAGTATCAGGAGACAGACACAGTGAAAAGCCACAGGTCTATCACATGCCAAGTTAACTGTTTGGGACTGGATTTCTCTGCTGAGAATGTGGGGAGGTTAGAAGTGTTACAAAGAAAAAGCAGGTGAGTTCTTGCCTTAAAGCTTACTCCCTGAGGTCTATCAGTAACACAGTTAAGGAGACACTTAACTAGAAGGCTAGAAACATATCACATTTAAACTATAAATGAATTCCATGATCAAATGCATTAAGGATGTGAGGGACCAGCAGTTAGCGTAATGGCTATGTTGCCAGATTTCCATGTAGTCAACCGCGGTTTGAGTCCCAGACCTGGCAGTTTAAACTCACGCCAGGCGCATGTGCGTGCGTGCGTGCTTAAGATCCCAAGAGGAGAATGGGGGAGAAGAGATTGCGGCATGGCCATCCCCCTGGGGGGTGATTTCTCGCTGTTTCTCTCTGTCTTTCTGGCGAGCACATGCGCCCAATAGCAAAAACCTCTCTCCCCCCACCAATAAAAAAAGAAAAAAGAAAAATACATTAAGGATTTGAGACTTAAACCAACTTATGGGGTGATAATAACGTAGTTGCCATTTGACAACCACTATCAAAAGCAGTTTGTGGAAAGGTTAGAAAAAGTCGCTGCTTTGACAGTATTGTGACAGAGCAACACAAGTCCTCTTAGTCACAGACAGGAAGCTTGTAGGAAGCCAAATAAAATAAAAATAATGGTTGGACATGGGAAGTTATCTGGTAATAATGTCATAATGATTGTTATTCAAAATAAAATATATTGCAGTAGTCCACTCTTATTCATAGTTTCCTTTTCCAGAGTTTCAGTTATCCATAGCCAATGGCAGTCCAAAATATTACAAGAAAAACTCCAGAAATAAACAATTTTTAAGTTTTAGACTGTGCACCATTCTGAATAGCATCATAAAATGGACCAAATCCTTACAATAACTAAAAAGTTTCATTAGTAAATAATATGAACATCTACTTGATACCCAGCCAAGTAATATTTTTTAAGTCTATACAATGAAGAAATAAGCTCCCAGGAGCTCAACTACTGTAATCAATAAGAAGCTCAGTCTATTAGGTACTTTAACAAGTTTCTTTAAATTTCTCTGTCAAGTGAAAAATATTTTTTATCTCCTGCAAGGGAGATAAAAGACTATGAGCTCAAAGACACTGAAAAATAATTTTAAAAATAAAGATTTGAGCAATGTAATTGTACAAAGACAAAAGGAGGCCCTATTAGACAATCAGTTCTTTTTTTTTTTTTTGCTATAGGGCAAGTGTGCTTGCCAAAGGTGGGAGTGGGCTGGGGTTAGAGTGAAAGTACCTCCCAGGGGGATGGCCATGCTGCAATACTATTTCTGTCCCCCTATCAGGATGTTGGGTATATCACACAGATGGCTATGTCAGATCCAGCTACCTTAACCATTACACCACTGGCTAACAGTAGAATATCAATGCTTATTGGTTATAAATCTTTCTTTTCAGCAATAGCTAATCACTAGCAAACAAAGTAGAGTTAAACAGTGATTACTTCTCATAAAGCCATTTGAATGGTCTTAGCATATACTGTATGAACCCGAAAGGATTCATTTTCATGGATTTTTTTAAGCCTCAAATATCGCAAATGGTAATATCCTCATTATATTGGCAAAATGAATAACGCTGTTACACTTAATATATCCTTTAGAACAGTGAGACATAGAAAAGAGAACTTACATGAAATATACACAGTTATGGTGACTCAAAAGGTATATAATGGGCTAATAGCATCTCTGTTTCCAGCCGGTTCCCTTATTCATGGTTATAAAGTCATGCTATTTGGCACTTTCCAATAAACATGAAAAGCAATTCTCTAGTACCCATACAAAACATTAGTATTATAAAATACATTAATTCTAACATATATTAATATACTGTTCGTGCACAAGGAAAAAAAGTGCTAAATGCCTACATTATACCCACCACAAAGTATGTTACAGCTTCTGCTGACAGCTAACCATATGTAGTCAGCATATAGTAATTAATTTTCCTAGAAAAATATAACCTAGATTTGTATGAGTAATGAATCTATCTGGCACCAGGGACAAGCACCTTGAAAAGATAGAGTTAGTCTATGATGTAATGCAGAACAAAGTGCTATATAAGTTCATGAAAAACCCTGACCAAGCAAAGTCAGCAAAGGTAACCCAAAAACAGCTTTGAACAACACTTTTCTTATTAGATTCCCTTTTTCATATAGTTTTTTCTTCCAAATGTAGATAAATAGGTATTTGGAATATTATTAACTAAATGTATTTTAATAAACAAAATTTTGAAGCTGGATGGAAACTTAAAAGGTCATCTGATGTTCAATCCTGTCTTTACTTCACTGTTAAATCATTTAATGATCCTACAGGCCAAATGGTAATTTTTATTTAGGGGAAAAAAAATCTCAAAGCTAATGTCCTAAGACCTAAATCTTGGGATCTATGATAACAATAGGAGAGCTCTTTTTCTCATTATTTAAATTGAAGTTTATCTCTTCAGACTGAATCAAGTAAAAAAATGTAAAGAAGTGTAATACACACACACACACACCCCTCAACGATGCTTCCTCATCTTCAAGGAAATGTTACAGTTAAAGCAAAATGTAAGCTACTTAATAATTAGAATGTTAGAAGAAATTTCATGTTTATAGGAGTACGTTTTAAATTTATTGTTATGGAGCCTTACTAATATAAACTCAACAGCAAAATCTACGAGAGCAATGAATTATAATCTAAAATTAAACCTAAAGAAGTAGAAGCACTTAAATTTCTCCTGTTTCTTGAAGACAGAGCAGTACTCCTGCAACCCTGCAAGCCCTACTAGCTATAGATGTCACATGTTGGAATGAACAATCCTTAAAAGCAAGTGTATTTTTCTTCTTTATGTTCATTTTTAGATAATACTTTGACTTTACTCATTTTATAAAGGCAGAAAGTAGTAGTCAAGCCAGCTCCCAATCACACTATGTAAAGATATCGTATGCGTGAATGTAAAAGTCAAGAAACAATATCCAAAACCCTAAGTGTAATTTTTATTGTAAAATTTTGTTTGTGGCCAATGTATATGTTGTTGAAGCAGAGACAGTAAAATGGAAAGAGCTTTAGAAAACGAATGAACCAACAAGTATTGACTGGGCCCCACTCGCTGCTATGAGAAGCACAGTAGCCCATATCATCTAATTCTTTCCACCTGTTTTAAAGGCAAAGCGTAGAAAGGGTCCTCAGAAGATGTAATAACCCATAACACTTCATTATGGTTATGTTTTTCACATATAATTTAAATTTTACTCATTATTCTATTAGGAAAAAATCAATTTGACATTTTTATATCAACAAACACTGTATCAAGTTCTCTTTGCATGGTTCCTTTTTTATGTTTTTTCCATAAGGCATGTGTGCTGCTAGCTGGAAAGAGAAAGAGAGAAAGCGAGAAATCACCCCCCCTCCCCCGAGGGGGTGGTAGAGATGGCCATGCTGCCATCTCTCTCCCTACATTTTCCTTTTGGGATTGTGGATGTGCATGTACACATGCCTGGCATGATTTTCAAGCTACTGGGTCCAAGACTTGAACTGCAGTCGAACACATGGGAGTCCAGCACTGTAACCACCACACCATCTACTGGCCCTACACAGTTTCTTTTATAAATAAGACATTGTCAGGTGCCAACTTTTATCAAACATGCTGAGTTTTCACCATGCCATTCTGCTCAACAGACTTATATAGCTTCACCTCCAAAGAATTTTTAGTAGCTGCTTATCTTTGTTATTCTTCCTGAAAGTCATTACAGATAATGACTTATTCATTTAACTTTTTAGAACACTACAGTAACCTATTGATTACAAAGTTATTAGCTTCAGTCTCAATTGTCTTAATGTGCTAAAGCTTTAGTTCACACACTTTGTAAATATCTAATTACAGGAAATACTGAAACAGCATTACAGGAAGTCAAAAGGCTTCAACCGGCATGGTTAAGTAGGACTTGAGAGGAGATAACTTGCTGCTAACCAAATATTCTTACCACTCAGAGCATCACAAAGTGGAAACTATTATAACAACCATAATTTTTAAACCATCTGGGGTTCAAACAACCTCTACTATGTTTTCTTGTAAGTAAGAATGAACAAGTTCCCCATAGTAGTTACTAGGTAACACCTAATAGAGACTGAGCTGGGATGAGCTCTGCCTACCATGATCTCCATGTTCTTTCTCCTTAATATGCCCACTACCTCTTATTGTGCTAAGGTTTTTTTTGTTTTGTTTTGTTTTGTTTTTTTGAGAGGTTTTTTCGCTATAGGGCGCGTGCGCTTGCCAGACAGACAGAGACAGACAGAGAGACAGAAAGCGAGAAATCACCCCTCAGG